GGTCCTGTCCGACGGGCCTTAGCTGGAGGAGAAGCGCTCGCTCGCAGAGCCTTAGACGCAGGTGGGCCCCGGGGAAAGGGTTCCCTGCCCCTCGCGGAGGGTGGGGCTGAGCGGGGAAGAGGAGGAATCCGAGGAAGAGGCAGCAGATTGGAGCCAGAAGGTGCCTTGAGGGAGACACGTGGAGCAGAGACGTGTGAAGAAACTGCATTTGGGTCTTGGCCCTGGGCTGGCCGAGACTGGAGGGGCCGGGGCCGGGGCCGGGGCCGTGGGGGGGCTGTGGCCGCGTCCGGCGGGTGGGTGTTGCTCTTTCCCTCCCAGGCTCGTCTGTCCGTGTCTGACCCTTTCCTGCGGTCCCAGCCAGAGGGTGCTTCAGGCCTGGCTCTGGGCCAGTCCCTGTGGGGTGGACTTTCTCTCACAAGGGGACCGGTGATTTTGGGTGTTTGACTGAGAAATTATATTCTTTTCTGTACTGCACAGTCATTGTATTAAAGTACCTTTTCCAGTAAAGCTCTTTTGTCTTGTATTGATGTGGTGGATGGTAGGACCTATATAGAGTGGGCAGGTTTAGGGGTGCCCCCCTCTCCCTACCCTGTAAGAGTTTGGCCTAATGTTGCTGGGGAGTTGGCTGTGGGACCCCAAGGCAGAGGCGCCAATAACCTGTTTCAGATCTGGGCTGCTCTCTCATCTGTGACCCCTCATGGATGGGAAACGGGGGGGGGGGGGCAGAGAAGGACTGTGATTGGCCTGTCTGGACAATGCCACTGTGATGTCGGTCCACTCCTGTTGAAATGGGGGCTCCTGAGCTCTGGGGGGCAGTGGAGCTGCTGTCCAGACACAAGATGGTAAGCCAGCCAGCCCTTAAGAAGTGCCCACTCAGACCCCTGCACAGCAACCCAAGGCAGAACCCCTATCTCTGAGAAGAGGCAGGCCCCTGTGGGGAGAGCGTCCTTGCTCGGCCTCTGCAGCCGAGGATGGGTAGTCCAGGGAGGGCTTGACCCAACTCTTAACTGGGGCTCACGTGTGGCCCACCCAAAGTCACCCCTTTGGGGTGTGGTGTGAAGGCATGGCTCTGGGCCCTAACGGCAGCTGACCGACGGCGTTTGCAGAGTGGCGGGTATGATCTCAACCTCTTCACCAACCCTCCCGACTGCAATTTCCTGTGCTCTGTCTGCCATGGGGTTCTCAAGAGGCCAGTGAGGTTACCATGCGGCCACGTCTTCTGCAAGAAGTGCATCCTCCGGTGGCTAGCCAGGTGCAGCTGGGCACCCAGGGGCTGGGAGGGCAGGGCGCTTCTGGGGTCATCCTGTGGCCAAGCCCAGCAGATCCAGCTGCCCGGACACAGGCACTAGGACCTGGGTCTCCACCCCACAGTGTGCTGCCTCCAGTGGCCCTTCCAGTGGGGAGAAGCACTTGCGGCTGCCACTGGCTCCTTCCCCAGTTCCAACACTCCCCACTGCTCCTGCCTCCTAGACAAAAGACCTGTCCCTGCTGCAGGACAGAGGTGAGGAGGAGAAAGATGGTCCATGTCAATGCTCTCCGGAGGACCATCAGCCGCCTGGAAGTCAAGGTAGCTCACCCGGCCTGGTGGGGAGCAGGGTAGGACCTGGGGTTTCTGGTCCAGCCACACACACAGCCCTGCCATCAGGCCTGGCTGGCTGAGTTGCGGCTGTAACACCTGCTGCTGTGTGACTTTGGGCAAGTGGCCCTGGCCCTGGCCCTCCAGACCACTCCCTGTTCTCAACTCAGCCCTCCCCTGCCCTGGCACTGAGTCTCCCTCAGGCTGCCAGTTACTGGCTGCTGGTCAGCGGGCATCTCGGGTGGGGGACTGGGCTGGCCTGGCTAGGCTCACCTCGCATCTTCCCCCTCTGCAGTGCAAGAACGCTGAAGCTGGCTGCTTGGTGACGTGCCCCCTGGCGCGTCGCAAGGGGCACCAGGACTCATGCCCATTCGAGCTGATGACCTGCCCCAACGAGGGCTGCTCGGCGCAGGTGCTGCGCGGGGCCCTGGCTGAACACAAGCAGTGCTGCCAAGTCAGTAGCCCGCAGCGTTGCCCCCTGGGCTGCGGGGCCACCCTGGGCCCGGCCGAGCGTGCCCGCCACAACTGCTATCGCCAGCTGCGGGAGGCCTGGAGCCGGCGCCAGGAGCGCAGTCGGGCCCTGCTGCTGTGCCTGCTGCGGCGCATGCGCAAGGTGCACCGCGCCACCAACCTCATCCGCAGGCAGCTGGCCCAGCTCGAAAATTTCCTGGAGGATGATGCCCTGCTCTTGGGGCAGGGCGCCCCGCAAGAGGCGGCCGAGGCCGCCCCAGAAGGCAGCCCTGGGGCCGAGGTGCGGGAGGCCCGTGGTACCTTGTAAATAGAAGGGCAAATAAACTCTGAGGCCAGGCCTGGCCCGCCCCGCCTAACCCTGGAGCCGCCCTGATCACACTGCGCCCCGCACACCGGCTCGCCTTTCTCCCTGGACCCCGCAAGGTCTCCACCGCGGGGTGAACCCCACCACTGGGTGCTCTTCCCCAGTCTCATCTGTATGGTTTTTAAAAAAATATTTATTCATACAGAACTGAAGTGCAGGGGTGAGAGGACTCCCCAGAGAGAGTGGGGGGCAGAACAGGTGGACCTGCTGAAGGGCACTGCCGCGGGGGCAGCAGGGAGACAGGAGGGGCTGTGGTGCCCAGTGTGGCACGATTCCCTGGCTGGGGATCGAACCCCTGCGGCGGGGGCGCCACGGCTTAGTAAGTGCTGCGCTTAAGCCGCTGGCCAGCAGGGAGCCCCCGCCTGATTTAACTCCGAGCGCCCCAGCATCCTCCGAGCCCGTGCTGCTGCTCCTAGAGGGCAGGCACCCCGGGACGGCGGGGCTCCCCGCGCCCCCAAGGAGCCGCTTCGCCCACTGCAGGGCCGCGGGAGACGCCGCCGCCCGCGCCCTCTGCCCTCCCACGGAGGGTACTTTGCTCCCGAGGCGACGCACTGCCGGGGTGCCCTCCCCTGTGCCCCGCGGCACGCCTTGGGCGCCCGGCTGACGTTTCCCACCGAGACTGCGTCGTCTCGGGCCGGCAACGCCGCTTGCCGCTTCCGTGTCCGGTCGCCGCCGCCGCCGCCCGTGGCAAACCTGGCGGCGCGCGGCTGTGACGTCGTTGGTGGCTGTGCCGTCGCGTGGTGGCGTCATCGCCGCGCGCCGCCAGGGAGAGGCCGCCGGTCTCGCTCACGCGGCGGCAGCATGACGGACCCCACGGCCGGCGTGGGCCGCTTCAAGGCCAAGTGAGCCGGGGCGGGGGCTG